ACACACACACACACACACAAGCTAAGGTGTCCAGACAGAGATGTAGGAAAAACAGGGAGTCTCAGATACAAATGCCCACAGAGGCCAGGTTGATGATAAAAACCCTTAGAGCCACCGCTGCAGAGGTGATAGATGGGAGAGGGTAGGCGCAGTCCATCTGTCCAGGGGACACAGCTGCCTCACACTCAGTTATTTCCAGAGGACTCCTGCCCGGTAGAGCAGAGCTTCTACTTCTCCAGAGAAGCCAGCAGTCCAGATTTCTAAAGGGAATCTCCCAATGTTTAGATGTGTGATGCAATGTATACCTAAATATCTCCCAAAGTTCTCCTCTTCAGACTGCTGCTCCAAGGGGGACCTAGGGAGGAATTTAAGTCTGCAGTTGTGCCCTTGAAGGGGACTGTGGGACCCCAGTGTCATTCCCCTTCTCCCTCCTCTCTCACCGTTCTCCTTTCCTAACCTTTCTTTCTCATTCACTCTCCGCTCCCCCCAGCCATGAGGTGTCCAGCTTTGTTCTGCCACCTGTCTCCTCCGTGATGAGCCACCACAAACCCAAATCAACCTATAAAACTGAGCCCGGATAATCCTCAGTTCCTCATTATTACCAATGTTTTGTCCTGATAATCTTAGGCGTTTGTCACAGTAATGGGAGCTAATACAGATGGCAACAGACTAAAAACAGCTAATAAAGTAGTGGCCCACATAAAACACCTGCAGGCTGGATTACCAATATGGTCCTCTAATTTTCAGTTTAGGGAGCAATTTTTTCTAATATAGCTAACTTGTACCCATTCCAGTCAAATGTGTGTGTGTGTGTGTGTGTGTTTGTGTGTGTGTGTATGTGTGTATCTATATGTGTCTGTCTTTGTCTGTCTGTATCTGTGTCTGTCTGTCTGTCTGTGTGAGTATGTGTGTATGAGCGAGTGTGTATGTGATGAGTGTGTGTTCCTGCCTCCCTTCATCTTGAATAACCAGTCACATTCCCAATCCTTGCTCCTAGTGATAATATCAAACTGATATCTCTGTTCTTTCTGGAACCTTCCAACCATCGGTCAGGTTGGGTTTACTGATTGCCAGCCTCACTAGAGATTTAATGAGACACTGTCTTATGGAGTGAATTGGGAAATGAGGGGAACAACTGCCCAAGTTCTTTCTCTAGCCTCTGTGTGTCCCCATGTCTTCACACTTGCTCATACATGTACATATATACCACATATATACACATAAGTATTAAAATAATACTTATTTTATTAATAAATAAATAATAGCTACTTTTATTAATAAATAAATAATAGACACAGTAATGAATAATAGCTACTTTGGTTTGTTAAATAAAATGCTGAGAGTGAAGGCATTGCCTAGTGTAGAAAGCTATTATCAATCGTTAACTTTTAAATGATACTTCTATTATTTCTTTGGGGATTTCATACAATGTGTTTGTTCATCTTCTCCCTTCCTCCTCCCGCAACTCCTTACAGATTTACCCTCTCAATCCATATCCCCCACCTACCAAACTTCAGGTCATCATCTTCTCCTCCTTCTCCCACTGGGTTCAGTCTGTGTTGTTCAACTACGCTTGAGAACAAGCCTGCCCTGGACTGTGGTTCATCTACTAAGGATACTGACCATTAAAGGAAGCTGACCCTCTCTCCCGGCAGCTATCCCGTGTCAATACCTTGTATCAATATCTTTTTTCATCAGTTCTCTCTCCCCAAGGAAATCATACGTCAAGTAAGGACAGTCCTGTCTTAGGTATGGCTTAAATATGAGTTACAAAGGTGTATGTGTGTGTGCGCACACAGATGTAAATGTACATGCGTGTGTACTCTCAACTGTGTTCTTTCTCTCCCTGATACTTCTCAAGAAGAATACCCAAACCATATTCTTGAGCCCTGTTTTGGGTTTTATGTCATGGATTCACACTGGTTGCTTGGATGGATTTTTTTTTTCAGTTTGAGTTTTTGTATAGAGCTGTAATTAAGGTGTATGGGTTTTGTCTATAGTTGTAATTTACTTGTTCCATTGCTCTTGTAATAACCTGCTGCGTTCCTGTACCACAATTATTTACTCACTCAACTACTGAGGGCATTCAGTTTAGTTCAAGCTTAGGCTACGTTATTGTTTCCTCCTGATGTCACATTTAGAAAAGGCCAAATGCTCTAGGGAGTGTTCGGGTCTTCAGTTGGCTTTCCGTTTGTAGTCATAACAGAATGGGAGCTACTGTTTCCAGTTCTCTGAAGTCTGTCTGTTTGGGGCTTCAGAACGACCCTGTGGAGTAGGTATAGAGCATCATTAGCTATGGTTTGATTGTGAGCATCTCTGAATTTTTTCCCCAATTCAAGGTTTCTGTGTTGCCCTGGCTGTTTTGGAACTTGCTCTGTAGACCAGGCTGGCCTCTAGCTCAGATATACACCTGCCTCTGCCAACCAAGTGCTGGGATTAAAAGTGTGCGCCACCACCACCCAGCCGGCTCGTATTTTTATTGAGACTGTGCGTCTCTGCTATTAGGTTTCTTCGTTCGAGCAATGCTGGTGTAAATCATAGTCAGACTGCCTGTCTTCCAGCTTCTTGCTTTCCTGTCTGCTGTGTGTTCAGATGGTCCCATCCAGCAGCTCACCATGTCTCCTTTGAGATGTTTTGTGAATATAGGTACATTTAGCTGAGTTCCAAAATAAAGTCATCTTCCTCCAAAATCCACATCGTTAGATCATATCAGGGGAGGGACTTAGCTACTCAGAAGGTGTTTACGATTCAGCCTGGCTGCCAGGACAGGAATACCTTTCTGCTCCATTCACAACATTTCCTGGCATGCATCTGTGTTGTCTTTAAATTAAAAGGTGAGGGAAATGGCAGCTGGGTTATTTTTAGTCACACAACGCTCTAGAGAGCCTGCATGGTTTGCCACCTCCTAAAAGAAGATGGAGAAGAAGCCAGCCTCACCACAGCATGCCAGGACAGCAGGAACCAATGAAAGCACATGCTCCGGGGCTCAACAAGCCCACATGGAGTATGGCAGAGGCGGGGCTGAGGCAGGGGAAAGGGGGCAAGTACCAGCATGGCTCCATGGTATCCCCAGTCTGAGCGGAGTGTGGTTGTAAGGGCGAGTACCATCATCAGAGGCCTGGCAAAAGCAAGAACAAGGGCAGGGGAGATGGCTCAGTTAGAAGTTCAGGTCCTGAGCACCCACATCAGAAAGCCAGGAGTGACTGTACACATCTATATCCCGGCACCAGGGAGACAGAAATAGGAAGATTCCTGGAACCTGCTGCCCAGCTAGTCAAGCCTAATTGGTGAGTGGTAGGTTCAGTGAGAGACTCCTTACCTCAAAAAATAAGGTGCAGAGTGACTGAGAAAGACAGCCGGCATCAACATCTGGCTTCCACAGGCATGCTCATCCACACGCACACCCCTGAACACACATGTGCACCCACACACCACAATGCATGCATGCACAAGCACGAACACGCACAAGAGACACACATGTAACATCAGAAAATAAAAAGAAATAAATCAACGGGTTTTCTTTACATCCCACTGCCTCCAGCACCACCATTCCAACAATGCCATCTTTCTAGGCTGATGCCTCTCAACCTTCCTAATGCTGGGACCCTTTAGTACAGTTTCCCATGTCATGGAGACCCCAACCATATTTTATTTCACAACTGTAATTTTGTTACTGTTATAAATCAAAATGGAAATACATTGGGAGATAGAGGTTTGCCAAAGGGTCGTAACCGATAGGCTGAGAACCACAGCACTGGAAATCATTATCCTGTCACCCCTAACAATTCTGCTGCAGGGAGAGCCACATCCTAGAGACCCCATGGCTACTGGCAAACAATGAACACATCAACCTCAGAGACAGATGTATCTTCGGCCACCAGCCCTGTCCAGGCTGGCCAGTCAATGATCTTTTCTAAACTCAGTTTCTCTGTCTTTAAGGTGGGGACAGTAACCAGTAACCTTAATAGATTGAATAAGATGACTTACAACTCAGTGTTCTAGCAAACTAGCCTCACCCTGAACAAAGCTGGGAGGAGGGGGAGAAACACATACAGGAAAAGATTTGCAGGGTGTGTGGGGGGGTGTTCAGTGGGTAAGAGACATGAACTTAAATCCTCAGCACCCCACGTAAATGCCACATGTGGTCATTCATGCAACTCCGGTGTTGTAAAGGGAAAACACAGAATGGGGATTGCTGGCTGCTAACCTAGCTCTAGGTTCAGTGACAAACCCTGTCTTATGGAAATAAGGGGCAGTGATGAAGTAGGACATCCAATATTCTCCTCTGGTCTCTTTGTGCACGTGTGCACACACACACACACACACACACACACACACACAGCATGACAAGTCCCTACACGGAGTGATGCTGCCTTTAACAATCCAGCCTCCTTGCTGCAAAGCCAGAGTCAGTAATCCACATTCACCCAGCCCCTTTGTCTCATTTCCAAGGGTTCTGCTGTAGCAACACTTTATAACCAGCTCCTCTGACATTTGGAGAGTGGCTCCATGTATGAGCCTCCTTCCTCCATGCCTTCTGCAGCTAGGCACTGGGAACCAGAGGGAGGCAGCGTGCTGGAGTGAGTGCTCCCTCCGTGTGGCGCTTTAATTTATTGTCCTGCCACTGTTGCCTCATTTGATATTCGCTGTAATGGCACCGTCCTAATGAATTTATCTGGGGATAACGTGGATGTCATGGGCACTTCCACCTCACACTGGCACACTGCCTCTGCCAGAAGTGCTGCGGCAGGCTTGCGCAGGATCAGGGCCGACTTTAAAAGGTCTCCCTCCCCACCCACCTTTCCAAGATGACTCAGGCATTTCTGAGGACCAGCTGCTCACTCTCCTCCCTGACCCACCACTGCCATATTTCCATCCTTAGAAAGATCCTGTGGATCCACAAGGGCATCCTTGAGATCTCCTTCTTAACCAGCAGCATCTACTAGAAAGTTTGGCAGTGGTTCAGAATTGTGTGAGACACTTTTCCTAGGGAGACACATCACACACACACATGCACACACACACACACACACACACACACACACACACACACACACACCAGAAAAGAAATCCATAACAGACCAATATAACAATTGCATCAAAGTCCAACTTGGTAATCTGTTGAGTTTTGATTTGGGTTACCATGAGTGTGGGGAGGGACTGCTCACAGGAGCAGGCGTGAGCAGGTATGAGCAGGTGTGAGCAGGTGTGAGCAGGCATGAGCAGGTGTGAGCAGGTGTGAGCAGGTATGAGCAGGCGTGAGCAGGTGTGAGCAGGTGTGAGCAGGCGTGAGCAGGTATGAGCAGGCGTGAGCAGGTGTGAGCAGGTGTGAGCAGGCGTGAGCAGGTGTGTGTCAAGAGCTGCTGTGCCACTGGAAAGCCCACCCCAACATGGGTCACTCAGAGAAGCTGCAACCCTGGAGCCCTCTGGAAAACCTGCCGGCAGCTCAACTGCCCTCTAACACTCGGCTCATGGTGGGCTTTCCTTTTCCAGAAGTTCTTTAATACTACAGAGCTGGGGTTCGCTCGAGATCTCCCCAGTTTTTACTTTCACTGACCTTTCATTTACTTCCTGGGTCTCTGAGCCTCCCTGAACTCCATCGGGAATGTTTCAGTTGGGAAGAGTGCACAACACAGAGTTTCTGAACTGCTGCTTACACGAGAGAATCACCACATTGGGTGACTGTGTGCTTAAAACAGGACCCACGCCACTGGAAAGGCAGCTTTCCCATTTTACTTCATTTCCGTTAATATTGACTTAAATAGCTATATGAGGCTGGTAGTCACCCTAGCGGACCATAAGTTCTCAGTAGAGATTAGGTCAGAGTTCATTGAACTTCATATACTTCCCATGGGAACTTTGCTACAATGCGGACTCTAACTCAGCAGGTCTAGAGAACTCAGAAGTCCTGCATTTCTAGCAAGTCTCCCAGTGACATCAATGTTGCTGATTCATGGACCACACTTTGAGCAGCAAAATAGTTGGGTAGTGATGGAGACAGTAACATGAGAAAAAAAATTCACTTCATTAAGCTTTACTGGTAAGATGCATGCACTTATTTTTAGATAGTTGTAATACACACAGCTGCAGGCAGTTTTCTGTCTGCACTGCCAGTCACCTCTGTTCTTCCACCCATTCCAAATAACCACACAGAGTCTTAATATTAATTACAAATGCTCAGCTGATAGCTTAGTGTCCCGCGCTACCGTCTCGCCAGCAAGAACCACGCGGTACACATAGGATACTTCTGCAGTAAAGCTTTAATGCCCCTTGGGAGAGCGGGCATCAGCCAACATGGCGGAGACCCAGATAAGATGGAACCCATCCCTTATATAGGAAACAGACCCTGCTTTGGACGTGTCACTCTTTGATTGGTTCACTGCCCATTATCCCAGATGATGCCTCGGGAGTAGGCAGGGACGCAGCGGTAGAGTTACCAAGCACGTGCGCTGGGATTAAAGGCGTGTGCTACATCACCTTGAACTCACAGAGATCTGCTTGTCTCTGCCTCCCAGGCATCAGGGCTAAAGGCGTGTGCCGCCACACCTTGGGGTCACAGAGGTCAATCTCTACCTTTGTTCCTAGAAGCAATGGAGAATGTGGTCCGGCCCTCCACAGCTTAGGCTTGTTACTAACTAGCTCTTACATCTAAATGAGCCCGTATTTCTTGTCTATGCTTGATCATGTGGCTCTGTGCCTTTCCTCAGTGTGGCATGCCCATCTTCTCTCTGCATCACCTCACAACTCTGTGACTTGCCCTTCTTCTCCCCAGCAGCCTCTCAGTTTGCCTCTCCTGTCTAACTTTTCCTGCCTAGTTATTTTCCAGTCTGCTTTTTTATTTAAACAATCAGAAGGCACCTTGGCAAGGACACATCTTTACAGTGTACAAAAAATTATTTCATAACACAGATCATTCCCCCAAGATTAATGACTGTCATCAAAGGATGGACATAGGCTTCATATAAAATTTTAGTACTGGCCATGGATGCCGCTCCATTGATAGAGTGCTTACCTAGCATGCATGAAGCCCAGGGTTCCATCCCCAGAACTGTATAAAATGGGCCTTGGCGGTTCCTGTATTGAAAGAGAAGAAAGACCATTAACCAAATCCTTTGGTCAAATTTAGCAAGCTTTATTTTCTGCCAGACAGAATTATCTCCTTAAAGAAGAGTTTGAAAATGTACCATTGAACATAGGAAAAAGTGAGGCCTATGCAGAGCCCCCAAAACCTCAAGACTAGGGGGTTTTCATGGGTTGGAGGGTTTCCAGAGGAATTTGATTTCATAGGAACTTGGTTGAACATTTTAAAGTTATTTGACAAATATCTTATCTTATCTTACCAGGGTATATTCAAGATGTGAGTCAAACTCCATAGGGTAGGGAGCCTGTCAAATTCCAGAAACAGGTTAAAGCACAGTCATCTTGAACTTTGCAGCAAACAGAAATGAACTCGCTCTGACCTTGTAACAAAATGACTTCCATCCTTAAAATGGAGTCAGGCTGGTCCATCACATGCCTGCAATCCCAGCACTCTGGAGGCAGGGTGATCAAGAATTCAGAGTCATCCTTGGACACATAGCAAATTCGAGGTCAGATTGAACTATGTGAGACTTTGTCTCAAAATAAATAAATAAATAATAAAATTTTAATGATATGTTCCGATATTGTATGGGGTATATTTAAGCTAAAGCATATTCATCTTTATATAAGACATAAATTTAACTCTTGTTATTTTGAAACTTGGCCAAACTGAGCAAACCCTTAATCACCCGAGGACGTTTCTATTTTTAACATCCAGGACATGCTGCCTCTCCAGGGTCCTCATTGATCTTGGTGTAAGTATGGATTGAAGACTCTCCAGACAATGGTAATTTACACTATGTCTGTGAAGCATTGGTTTGGGTTAGAGACAGTGGCATTATTATCTCTGCTGTGTTTGTAAGAGCACAGATTGTGGGTTCTGAGCGAGGAAGTTTTCGGTGGAGTCTGGAAGTCTGTACTTCTGACAAAGCCCATGTGATTTCAATGCTTTAGCCCAGGGGACCACACTAAGAAACCCCAGCTGTTGTGCTGTGAGATGCTCCTGTAGGCTCACGATTCATGAGACCAGCTGGCTTCCTGTCCCTGATGCCACGCTGTCCCTGACATGATGGATTTGAACTGAAAGCCAGAATCAGCCTTTCTCCCTTCCATTGCTTTCTGTCAGTCATTTTGCCATGGCAACAAGAAAAATAACTAGTACACAGGGTTATTCTTCACTAGTTAACACAAAGTCAGAGCAGCCTCTACATAGGCCTGGGTGGCCAGCAGGCAAAGGAGCAAAAGTCCAGGGACGCCTGAACATCTACAGGTCAAGGGTGTGGGAGCCCCTGGGGTTAGTTCTGCTTCCACTGACAGGGTGGTGATGGGACAGTTGTCATCCAGCTTCAGGAGACGGCCCTACACCCTGCAGACTGCAGAACTAAGAGAACTCAGTGAGGGTTTTCAAAAGCACACGATTTGGGGAGAGAAAAACAGTGAGAAGTAAAAAGAGGGTGGGAGGGACAGGAAGGGGTGGGTTTGATCACAATACATTACATGTATAAAATTCTAAAACGCTAAACTTTTAAATAAATTGTCTAAAATATAAGACACGCCTTCATTTTTATTTCATAAAAGATAAGTAAGACTAACAGAGAGAAGGAACTAAGTCTAAGTTCTTTTGACTAGATATTCCATACTAGTTCATTGCATACAACGTGACATTGGGTCAGACTCTTTTCACATTTAATAAACAGATGCTTCCAGGCTTCCTAGAGCCCGGCACCATTCTAAATGCTGTCCAAACGTGAACTCATGCAGCACTAACAGCTATCAGAGATGGTGCTGACTGCTGTTTGTGTTCTCATCTTACGCATGATGCAACTGAGACCTGGAAAAGTCACCTCCTGAGGCTGCACAGTATATGGGTAGCACCCTGACCATTCGTCCAGCAGATCAGCAAGGAAAGGGGGCCCCTGATCACCCTCATTTGCTTCTTTTCGTAGTTGAGGAAGGACAGAATGGAAGGTAAGAATGCCTGGCACTTCCATTCTTCATCAGTCAAGGCAACTTGAAGTCTGCATTTTACAAGTAAAAGCCATGTCACGTCTCAGTATACCAGACTCTACACTCAAGGGTCCTGAATGCCCTTCTATTAAAAGAAACTGCAAATGCTTTTGCATCAAGGGGCTAAGGAGATAAGAATTCATTATCAGTGGCTGCCCCATCAGACAGTGGATTAGGTGAGGCTGGGACCCTGGCCAGTTCTGCTGGTTCTCATTTTGACATTAGCCAAGGATTTAAGAAACCTCAAGGACTCCCTGGCATATGTGAGTCCTCTGACTTGCTGAAGTGGAAAGATAACCTTTACTGCTGTGAGACCCCATCTCCTTGGAAATGAACCTTCACCACAACTGCCATTTGAAGCTTATGTTTGGGCAGTTGAGTTCCATTGCCTTCTCATGTGCACGTAACTCTGCGATGCCGCTACACCTGCCCTGTAATAAAGGCAAGCTCCCCTGGGAGGGCTGCTCACACTTGGGATGTGCCTCCAACATCCCCTCACCCTTCGGCCCCCAGACATCCTGACTGACCCGTGACTCCAAACTCATGTTTCCGCTGTGCTGCCCCTTCCACATGGTAAGTTTTCTTCTCCCTTATATGTCCACTCGGATCCCTCTTTAAACTTCAAATTCCAGATTCCAAATCCTGTCCTTTATGATCTTCCCCCACCCCCTTAGATAAAATAAACAAAAAGGTCACATTATAAAATACCCACTTGTTTCATATGTAAGGAAGCATTGCAAAATAGCAGTGAGTCCAAAGTCATTTGATTAGCTATGAGACTCATTCTACACAACATGGCCTAGTTATTGGTCACAATCTCCTTGTGTTTGATGAATAGGTTGCCACATCTTTTGTCTCTGCATTCATCTGTACAACATTTATTTGTACATTAGAACATAAGATCTAAAGAGCCCTTGTTTTCCAACCCTGTCTCTCCCCTTTATGTTATACTTCTTCATAATTTCTGGGCCTAATTTTCTCCATCTGTGAAATAGAAATAATGATAAAATAAAACATAAAGTGGAGGTAGGGCTGTATCTCTGTTGGCAGGCTGCTTGCCCAGCTGGGGTGAGAGTCCTGGAATAGAGCTACAGAGCCACATAACCTGTGTGCTGCAGACTGTGGCCCCAGCACCTAGGAGGAGGAGATATAAGGGTCAGGTATTCAGAGTCATCCATAGCTACACAGTGAGTTCAAACCCACCCTGAGTCACGTAAGACCCTGTCTGTCAAACAGTTAATAATGATAATAAGATTCAGTCAAATAGAAGCTGAAAATAAAGACAAACATGTGTGGGAAGCAAATTGTATAGTATTTAAAACATAGCATGCTCTCAGGAAAAGGTAACTGCTGTTATTTGAGGGATGTGGAGGACAATGATACTGACATTCACTGGGAATCCCTTATAGTCACCAATTTAAGTGCTATCGTAGAACTTTCATTCCTAGTTCATTAATACCTGTAAATCAAATGTGTGTGCTAGAATATAACCTTCACATCTATCCAGCAAGTCCCTGACTCTGCAACCATCCTGTTTGCCAAATGGTAGCTCCAGTATCATTGCTGTCTTTGTTGATATGGTTTATTTAGCTGTTTCATTTCCTTTCATTTTTATTATTTCATAAAAGGTGAACAAAGGCAAAAAAACATAACTGTGCTAGCATTAGCAATGAGGGATCAAATCTCAGCCATTATTGAAATGAGCAAGCATGCCACAGATGAAGGGAAATGATAAAATTGTATATTGATGTAGGAATATTGCTTCCAAGGGCATCTAATGGATGAACCACAAAAACATTATGCTAAGTGAAAGAAACGAGATACAATAGCCCACATTCTATATGATTTTATCATACAAAGTCCTAGGAAAACAAAATTGACCAAGACAGAAAATAGATTAGTGTTTGCCTTGGGCAGAAGGGCTAAAATGGAAAGTGGTGGAAAGAGGCACAAGGCTCCTGATGCTGTGATGAGATGCCTGACAAAGGCGGCTGGAGGAAGGAAGGGTTCATTTCAGCTCACAGTTCAGTGCAGTCTGTCTGGCAAGGAAGGCCAGCAGCAGGAACTGAGGCAGCTGGCTGCGCTGCATCCACAGTCAGGAAGCAGAGAGCAATGCATGCTGGTGCTCGGCTCACTTTCTCATTTTTATGAAGTCTAAGAGCCAAGTCTATGGAGTGGTACCCCTAATACTTATAGTGGATCTTCAATGAGCCTGTTCTAGACAATCCCACATTACATCAGGCTCAGAGACTTGTCCCTAGATGATTCTAAGCCTATCAAGTTGACAACCACTGTTAGCCATTACAATAGCTAAAGATCTTTTCACATTTGTGATTCATATGGTGTGGTCTCTGCCTATATAAACACGCTTACTGAGACACTGGTACCTATAGTCTAATAAATAGCATGCAAATCCTCTGCTTGATTTCTACATGGTTGCTATTTATGTCATAGAGGAACGGATCTGCAATTGTCTGGAGCTGTGACATTCAGTAAGGCAAGACTCTAATTTCTTCAACTCTGAACCTATAGCCATCACCCCCTCAGTAAGAGCTAAACTGATCTGAAGATAAATGAAGTTCCTTCCTGTCAAGAACTGCTAATGGAGAGCCTTCCAGCAAGCCAAGACCATGTCTTTAGGTCTAAATCACACAAAGCATGCTAAAACAGGATTCTCTGAACTCATTCCAAATGACCTGTTAATTTTTAAAAAAAGTCACAAAAACAAACACACACACACACACACATTTTAACGGCTCAGCTTGTAGGAACCCTGAAGTTGACTCAAGACACCTAACTCTAAGTTCTCAGCACAAAGGAGATTTCTTTGCTCCAGAGGGACAGAGGACATGGATAGTGGACAAAGATAGGAGATAGAGGATGAGGGAGAAGAGGAAGGGAACAAGGAAGAGGGGGGAAGAGTCATATTGGTGTCCTACCCATAGGGAACAAAAGACAGCTTCCAAATAGAAAGACGACAGGCCTGG